TCCTGCACGTCCCTTTACTGGGAATCGAGCCTGCAACCCCAGCATATGCCCTGGCCAGGAATCAAACCAGTGACCTCTTGGTTCCTGGGTGCACACTCAACTGCCAAGCCATGCCAGCTGGGCGATATAGCTTTTATTTTGACTGGACAGTCGTTTTCTTTTTTAATGCTTGGTCTAAAGACACATTTAATGAAGAGGTATATTCCAGCAGGAAAAGTTTACAACAGTGATTCTCATAATACATTGGAATCATCTGGAAAGTTTGATAGAAATGTAAATTCCTTAGCTCCTTCTCAATGATATTCAAAAGGAATCTGCATTTTAAACAAGTATCTTAGATGATTTTGATGCAAGTGGGAAAATGCTGGCCTAGAAATTTCAGACTTCAAGTAAAATTCAGAAAATGTTACATTTACTTTAAGAAAATGGTATTGGATTTTTTTTCCCTATTACAGAAATAAGAAGAAAAATTGGCAGTTTTATTTGGGAACAAGATCAACATTTTCTGACAGAGAAGGTAAGAGTAAAATAAAGTACTTAATTAAAATCTATAGTTTCAAAAATTTTTGAAAGCAATATAATCTTAAAAATGTTTGCCTGTGACATGATCCAGATTAAGGAATTAAAGGTCATGCTTTTGTTGAACACTATCTGATTTGGCATTGTTTTTATACTAGTACAATAGTTATATTGAGATTTTTTGTATGAATAAAATTATTCACATAACTTGAAAATTTGCTTTTGTCAGTAATATTAAGGGAGTGATCATTGCACAGTATAGACCAGTTCTTTAATGTCAATGTAGATTCTGATTGATTAATTATTGTGCCATTTGTTAAATGTTTTGAATAACACCCCCCAATACATGTGTATAATACTAAAAACTGACTTTAGCTTTTGCCATCCTGCTTCAATTTGCCTATGCTTTTGACTTCATAATCTTTATGCAATAGCCAAATTTGGGATAATTTGAACATCAAAATTAACAATGACAGTAATGGATTATAAAACATTAAATTTTTTAAAGTCCATGATTATATAGTGATACTTCAAAAACATAAAGAAAAAAATGGAAGAACAGAGGAAGGAAAGAAAGAAGGAAGGGATGGAGGAAGGAAAAGGTGGGATAAGAGAAAATTTCCTTACAGAATAGCAGCTAATAAATATACAAAGAATAATAGAATAGAAAATCCCCCCTATATCACTCCCAATAAAATAATTGACTTAGGCAAGGGTCATTAATGGATGTTAAAAGCATGATCGCAAATGAGCACCCCACAGATTACTTATTATAAAGATAAGCAATGTACTTTACACTGGAGAGATCTATCAAACTACCACCTTAACCAATTGATTGAATTTAGCATCACCAATATTGGATGATGCTAAATTATGTTCAGCTTGATGTAATATAATAAAAAGTACACAATATTATCTGTGTAATGTTCTTGTTCAAAATGCTTAACCTGAATCTACGTATGGGTAAACAGGCAATTCTAGAATATTGAGAATTTCGGAAAACAACTAGCTGGCTTAGGCACTTTAAAACAATGCCATTAAAAAAAAAAAAAAAAAAAAGGCAGGAAGGCATTCTCCTTCCAGGGAGCATGCCCATGCCATTCCATTCCCTCTCCTTCCCCCACAGGCATGTATCATGGACTGTATATTAGGTGATACTGAGTTAACATTAATTTTAAAAATTATGATAGAGGTATTATAAAGATAAAATATATTTTAGAAAATGCATGCTAAAAGCCTGGCCAGTGTTGCTCAGTGGTTGAGCTTTGACCCATGAACCAGGAGGTCGCGTTTCAATTCCTGGTCAGGGCACATGTTTGGATTGCAGGCTCGATCTCCAGTGTGGGGTGTTCAGGAGGCACCTGATCAATGATTCTTTCTCATCATTCATGTTTCTATATCTCTCTCCCTCTCCTTTCCTCTCTGAAATCAATAAAAATATATTTAAAAGAAAATGCGTGCTAAAGATTAAGGAGTAAAATGTTATAATATCTGAAAATGTTTTCAAATGGTCCATTAAAAATAAAAATTTATAGAAGGAATGCAGGGTGTAAAAATGTTAACACTTTGTGAATCTAGGTGAAAGGTATATTGTACTTATTGTATTATTCTTTAACATTCGATAAGTTTGAAATTTTTTCAAAATAGACAGTTAGGGAAAACATCTTTATAATGTAATATGTCTAAAGCCAAGCAATTAATTTACATATTTTGTACTTTTTTTATAAATTTGTTTTTTCTTCCCAAAGTGTTATCATCTAAAAATACTAATAGTTCTTTTATATTCTTTGGCTATGTTGTACAAAGGACCAAAATATTTAATCCTTGACTTATCACAGTGTTTCCAGGGACATGAATGATTTGACAGTAATTATTTTATTTTTTTAAAAATATATTTTATTGATTTTTTTACAGAGAGGAAGAGAGAAGAATAGAGAGTTAGAAACATCGATGAGAGAGAAACATCGATCAGTTGCCTCCTGCACACTCCCCACTGGGGATGTGCCCGCAACCAAGGTACATGCCCCTAACCGGAATCGAACCTGGAACCCTTCAGTCCATAGGCCAATGCTCTATCCACTGAGCCAAACCGGTCAGGGCATGACAGTATTATTGAGTATACCAGAACTTTAGAGCTAAAAAGTCCTTAAAGATCATTAATTTAATCACTGAGTTTTAGAAATGAGAAAACTGAGGTAAAGAGAAGCAAAGATTTGTCTTGGTTCACATAGCCAGATATTATTAGCAAAGTGGAACAAAATTTTCTCAGCTCCATCCCAGTCCAATGTTTTTTCTACTAAAATTAGTAGAACATTCCTGCTAGACTATTGACTATTGACTGGAGACTATTGACTCTAGGATTTGTATGATTATATAACAAAGGATTTTATTAGTTATTTCAAAATATTGATTGATATAGATTATTAGCCAATTATAATGTAATTATCTATACTAATAAAAGGGTAATATAGTAATTAGACTGGCAGACCTTTCAGGAGACCTTCCAGACGTCCTTCTGGACAAAACCATGGTGGCAGGACCAAGGCAGAGGCAGTTAGGGGCGATCAGGCCAGCAGGGGAGGGCAGTTGGGGTCAAGCAGGCCGGCGGGGGGGGGGGGCAGTTGGGGTTGAGCAGGCCACAAGGGGGGGCAGTTGGGGGCGAGCAGACTAGCAGGAGGGGGGAGTTGGGGGCGAGCAGGACAGCAGGGGGGGCAGTTGGGGGTGAGCAGGCCAGTGGGGGTCAGCAGTTGGGGGTGAGCAGGCTAGCAGAGAGGTGGCGGTTGGGGGCGATCAGGCCAGCAGGCAGATTAGTTAGGTTAGGGGCGATCAGGCAGGCAGGCAGGTGAGTGGTTAGGAGCCAGTGGTCCCAGATTGCGAGAGGGATGTCCAACTGCCGGCAGTCGGACATCCCTGAGGGGTTCCAGATTGGAGAGGGTGCAGGCCGGGCTGAGGGACACACCCCCCCATGCACAAATTTCGTGCACTGGGCCACTAGTTCTATATAATAAAATCCTAATGTGCAAATTGACTGAACAGCTGAACAACTGGTCACTATGACGTGCACTGACCACCAGGGGCAGACACTCAATGCAGGAGCTGCCCCCTGGTGGTCAGTGTGCTCCCACGGGGGAGTGCTGCTCAGCCAGAAGCTGGGCTCACAGCTGGCGAGCACAACGGCAGTGGCAGGAGCCTCTCCTGTCTCCATGGCAGCACTAAGGACCCCTCAGGGGGTCCCGGACTGCGAGAAGGGGCAGGCCGGCTGAGGGGCAACCCCCCTCCACCAGTGCATGAATGTCATGCACTGGGCCTCTAGTAGTGCCAGGTATACCAGTTAATAATGCGGATTTTTTTCAATAGATGGAGTTACACATTTGTTGATACATATGTGGTTTGATATGTATGCTATTTTGTTGTATTGACAGCAAGCTTCAAAACTTCATATGTCAAATTTGCTGAAGGTGTTAACATCATAGATATTTTTACGCTTAAAATGTCGAATTTCGTGCCCAAAAAATGAGTATTTGCGGGAAGTTTTAATTCATTACTTTATTTTGAAGAAAAGTGCTGCTGAAAGTTATTGTATACTTCGGGAAGCTTATGGTGAACATGCTCCATCTCAAGGTACTGTGAACACTGGTTTAAATGCTTTAAAAGTGATGATTTTGATGTGAAAGACAAAGAACGTCCAGGTCAACTGAAAAAGTTTGAAGACAAACAATTACAAGCATTATTAGATGAAGATTCATGTCAAACTCAAAAACAACTTGCAGAAAGATTAAACGTTGCTCAGCAAACAATTTCCGATCGTTTACAAGCAATGGGAAAGATTTTAAAGAAAGGAAAATGGGTGCCACATCAACTGAACGAAAGACAAATGGAAAACTGAAAAGTCATCAGTAAAATGTTACTTCAACAGCATGAAAGAAAGTCTTTTTTGCATCGAGTTGTGACTGGTGATGAAAAGTGGATTTATTTTGAGAATCCCAAATGCACAAAATCATGGGTTGATCCAGGTCAACCATCAACATCAACTGCCAGGCCAAATCGCTTCAGAAAGAAGACAATGCTCTGCGTTTGGTGGGATCAGGACGGTATGGTGTATTATGAGCTTCTAAAACCAGGTGAAACCATTAATACCGATCGCTGCCAACAACAAATAATCAATTTGAACCATGCTTTGGTTGTGAAATGACCAGAATGTGCCAGAAGACATGGCAAAGTAATTTTGCTTCATGATGACGCACCATCACACACTTCAAAACCAGTTAAAGACACGTTAAAAGATCTTGCCTGGGAAGTATTAACCCACCCGCTGTATTCACCAGACCTTGCTCTGTCAGATTACCACTTGTTCCAATTGAGGCACACGCACTTTCTGAGCAGTGGGTACGAAGAAGTGGAAAATTGGGTCTCTGGATGGTTTGCCTCAAAACAGGAAAAGTTCTACTGGAACGGTATCCACAAATTACCTGAAAGATAGGGGAAATGTGTAGCTAGCAATGGGCATTACTTTGAGTAAAGCACTTTTGATGTTTCTCTTGATATTATCGTGTTTTCTTTGATTACAAAATCTGTATTACTAACCAGGACACCTGGTATATATAAGTAGAAGGTACTTCACCGAATGGCAACAATAAGGGTAAAACTGGTAAGTAATTTTGGGGAGCATTATTATTATTTAGAGTGTATTTGTGACCTAAATATAACAATTTCCTATTGGCATATTAAGTAAATATATTATGTGATAGGTACCAGTATCTGAGTTACTGTCACATAATCTTTAGTTCTTTTGTAACTCCATAGCTAAATACTTCACTTTAATTTTGAAGGGGAAACAATTTGTAAAGCTTACTTCATATTTTTGATGTAGCTCACGGACAGCCTAGGAATCTTCAATTCAAAAATTTTAAGAGAGTTTAAGAACACTTTTTTGGTTTCCTTATTTTTAAAAAAACTAAGAAGTAATATGACCACATTAGGGAAAATTTCAAAAACTGAAAAAGAATAAAATTTGTCAAAAGTTTTACTATCTAATACAACCACAGCTGATATTTTAAAAATTTTGTTCTTTATGTATCCTAAAAATATAGAATGTAATTCTGTGTGTACAAAATTTTGTTAAGTTTTTTCCACCAAACTAGATTGAATGTACCTAGGTATATAAATACTTTATGACTCTTATATAGTGCCAATGTACTTTTCTTTTATTAAAAAATTTATTGATTGGCTTATTGGTGTGCTGATTTTTTAAAATGTGATTTCTTTTGCTATCCACAGCATGATGAAGTAATGTCAAATGAAATAAACATCCTTAAGGAAAGCAGTGAACTGGCCACAGATCACAAAAAAGAATTATCCAAAAGGTATTGAATTCATATACTTCATTGATATTCAATTCAATGTAGACTCTTTGAACACTGACAGTGTATTTATCTCATTTAATTTTTACAGTCTTCTTATGAGATTATATTATCATTTTCACATCGACATTTTAGAAAAAGATCTAGGGTCAGATAGATTATAATTTGTCCAAAGTCTTGTATAAGTGGGGAGAAGCAGGATTTGAACTGGATCAGTCTAATTCTAGAGCCCATGCATTTAACTACTATGCTAGATTAACCTTGCAGAAAAGAAACTAGAATTTTATCTATATTATGAATGCTGTTATATATTATTTTTAAAAATATATTTTATTGATTTTTTACAGCAAGGAAGGGAGAGGGATAGAGAGTTAGAAACATTGATGAGAGAGGAACATCGATCAGCTGCCTCCTGCACACCCCCCACTGGGGATATGCCCGCAACCAAGGCACATGCCCTTGACTGGAATCGAACCCAGGACCCTTTGGTCCACAGGCCGATTCTCCATCCACTGAGCCAAACCGGTCAGGGCATGAATGCTGTTATATTATTTTTAAAATATATTTTTAATAAGAAGAAAATATACTAAATATTAGCAGTAATATTATTAGGGTTGGAAGTTCTGAATGATTTCTCCCTCTCCATTCTAAATTGTTTGTAATGTGATTACTTTGGTTTAAGAAATTAAATTTAAAAAGACAAACATGGACTTGCCATTGTGTTAGGGCTAATCTATGAGAGACCCCCTTATTGCTGGCTTATTTATTATCTAGTCCTAATTTCATATTTTCCAGTTCAATGGTTTTAAAATATTCATAGGGGAGCATTGGTTATGTGAAAGTCTGATATTTGGCTACTAAAATAAAAATGATCAATATTAGTCTTTCTTCCATATAAAAAGTAATGTTTAATCTTTATCATTTTTTTCAATGTTGTTTTTCTCCTTATATTTTTCCTCATATTTTTTCTACCTACTATTTTAGTTTGTTAAAATTTTTTTTTTAAATATATTTTATTGATTTTTTACAGAGAGGAAGGGAGAGAGATAGAGAGTTAGAAACATCGATGAAAGAGAAACATCGATCAGCTGCCTTCTGCACATCTCCTACTGGGGGTGTGCCCGCAACCAAGGTACATGCCCTTGACCGGAATCGAACCTGGGACCCTTCAGTCCGCAGGCCGACGCTCTATCCACTGAGCCAAACCGGTTTTGGCAGTTTGTTAAAATTTGATGTAAGTTTTTGTCTGATTTAACACAATGTTGTATATTCAATTATGCTAAGTTTAATAAAACATTGCTTCATGGTCCTGTGACTTCTAGATATTCTACCACTTAAGTTTAAGAATCCATATTTTAGGTCTTTTGGATCTCTATGTGTAACACTCCTTTGAGCTTACTTGTTATGCTTTTTGAGATAAGAAATTGGTAAGGAAAGAAAGAAAAATGAAAATAGAAGTGGTGAGACCATGAAGATATTAAGAGGTGGATAGAGGAGAGAATACTAGTAGTTATCCTAAATGGTCTTGTAAGAGAAGGCTGGGAAATGGAAATAAAAAGTCCCTCCCAGTGATTCGTTTGACTAGGAAAGATACAAGATATATAAATTCTTTAAGAAACAGTTGTCCTGACCTGACCAGTTTTGCTCAGTAGTTATGTTAGAGCATCAGCCCTCAGACCAAAGGGTTGAGCGTTTGATTCCCATTCAAGGGCACGGACGTTGGTTAGGGATTCAATCCCCGGCCCCGCTTGCAGCGCATGTGGGAAGCAAGCAATTGATGTTTCTCTCTCTCTCTCTCCCCTTCTCCCTCCCTTCCATTCTGCCTGAAAATCAATGGAAAAAATATCCTCAGGTGAGGATTAAAACAACAACAACAAAAACAAGTTTCCTTCAAAGCACAGAATCCATTAAAGAAAAGAGTCCCCGGCTGGTGTGGTGCAATGGTTGAGTGTTGACCTATGAACCAGGAGGTCATGGTTTGAATCCCAGTCCATTGATATTTTCTCTCTCTCTCCCTCTCCCTTTCTTTCTGAAATGAATAAAAAAAATATTTTTAAAAAGAAAAAAATTGATAAACATGACCAAAAAATATTTTAAACTTGTACATGACAATAAAAATATTATAATCCAAGTCAAAAGAAAAATATACACTAGGAAAAACATTTGACAAAGGCTTGTTTCCTTAATATATAAAGAGGGCTTGCAAATCTGGGGAAATATGCCCAATCCAATAACAACAAAAATAGACAAAGGATATGAATAGACACACCTTCAGTGTCTACCTAGAGCCATTTCTTTGTGGAACCACTAGAGGGTGTAGTGCAAACATAGATGAAATATACTTTTTAAAAAAATATATATTTTATTGATATTTTACAGAGAGGAAGGGAGAGGGATAGAGAGTTAGAAATATCGATGACAGAGAAACATCGATCAGCTGCCTCCTGCACACTCCCCACTGGGGATGTGCCCGCAACCAAGGTACATGCCCTTGACCGGAATCAAACTCGGGACCCTTGAGTCTGCAGACCGATGCTCTATCCACTGATCCAAATCGGTTAGGGCGATAAAATATACTTGACCCTTGAGTCATTTATTTTGTTGGCATACTACTAGTATTGAACACTAAGTGGCGAACTAGTTATTTAGTACTTACTAAATACAAGACTCTCGTGAGCTCAGCAGTTCACAATAATTAATTTGTTTCTTAGAACCTTATAAGATAGATAAATAGTATTAGCTCCATTTTATAGTTGAGGTCTCAGAGAGCTAAATAATTCACCAAATATTAATCAAGTGGTAAAGTTGACTCAGACTCCAAACCCTTAATCACTATGCTGTTTTCCTTTCCCTTACATTCCTAAAATCTTCAGAAAATTGTATGTATTTCTTTTCTTGTTTTTAATTACAGTAATTATATTATTATGACTGTAATGCATACAATTTGTCAAAATAGAAAATACAAAAAAATGAATAAAGAACATTTAACCCTAACTGGTTTGGCTCAGTGGATAGAGCGTCGGCCTGCGGACTGAAGGGTCCCAGCTTTGATTCTGGTCAGGGGCATGTGCCTTGGTTGTGGGCACATCCCCAGTGAAGGGTGTGCAGGAGGCAGCTGATCGATGTTTCTCTCTCATTGATGTTTCTAACTCTCTATCCCTCTCCCTTCCTCTCTGTAAAAAATCAATAAAATATATTAAAAAAAAAAAAACATTTAAACTCCATCAGAGAGATAACCATCACCAACATTAGCATATTTCTTGCTAGTTTTATACAAATACATGCATTAAATAGAGTTGATGTTGACTGCATATACAGGGTGGTTCAAAATTCGGTTTACAGTTGTGTGTGTAAAACACAGAGTTTATGCTTATATTATTATTTATTAATTACTGTATTAATTTCCACGAATAACTATAAACCTACTTTTGTCCTATCCTGTTTAGTCTGTCCCTTGATTTTTCCCATTTTGAAAAGCCTTATTTGATACTAGAGGCCTGGTGCACAAAAATTTGTGCACTCGGCGGGGGGTTCCCTCAGCCAGGCCTGTGCCCTCTCACAGTCTGGGACCCCTCTGGAGATGACCACCTGCTGGCTTAGGCCTGCTCCCCGGGGGATTGGGCCTAAGCTGGCAATCAGACATCCCTCTGGCAGCCTGGGAGCCCTCGGGGGATGTCCACTTGCCAGTGGGGAGCAGGCCTAAGTTGCAGTCTGATATCCTTAGTGCTGCTGAGGAGGTGGAAAGGCTCCCACCACCACCGCTGTACTGGCAGCTGCCAGCCTGGCTTGTGGCTGAGCAGAGCTCCCCCTGTGGGAGCACACTGACCACCAGGGGGCAGCTCCTGCATTGAGCATCTGCCCCCTGGTGGTCAGTGTGTGTCATAGTGACCAGTCATTCCCAGTCGTTCTGCTGTTAGGGTCAGTTTGCATATTACCCTTTTATTATATAGGATAGAGGCCTGGTGCTCGGGTGGGGGCCGGCTGGTTTGCCCGGAAGGGTGTCCTGGATCAGGGTGGGGTTCCCACTGGGGTGCCTGGCCAGCCTGGTGAGGAGCTGATGGCTGTTTGCATCTGGTCACACCCCCTTCAGGGTGGGGGTCCCCACTGGGGTGCCTGGCCAGCCTGGGTGAGGGGCTGATGGCTGTTTGCAGGCTGGTCAAGCCCCCCCCCCCCCCAAGTGGGGACCCTCACCCCATGGAGATTTGGCCAGCCTTGGTGAGGGGCTGATGGCTGTTTTCAGGCTGGCCACACCCCCTTTAAGGTAGGGGTCCCCACTGGGGTGCCTGGCCAGTCTGGGTGAGGGGCTGAGGGCCGTTTTCAGGCTGGCCAAGCCCCGCTGGTGACGGAAGCTCTCAGCCTCTCCTTTTTTTCTTTTATTTTTATTCTGAGATTTATTTACCTTCTATAATTGAAACTTTATTGCCTTCAGTGGAGCTGAGAGCTGGCCAGGACAGGCAGGAAGCTTGGCTTCCTCCATCACTGGAGCAACCAAGCCTCCTGCTTGCTCCAGCTCCGTGGCTGCTGGCCGCCATTTTGGTTGGGTTAATTTGCATATAGTTGCTCTGATTGGCTGGTGGGCATGGCTTAAGGCAAAGTGAAGGTACGGTCAATTTGCATGTTTGTCTTTTATTAGATTACTAGAGGCCCGGTGCACAAAAATTTGTGCACTCGGGGGGAAAGGGGGGTCCCTCAGCCTGGCCTGTGCCCTCTAGCAGTCTGGGACCCCTCGGGAGATAACGACCTGATGGCTTAGGCCTGCTCCCGGGTGGCAGAGGGCAGGCCTAATCCCTAGGTGCAGCCCCTGGTCAGGCTCAGAGCAGGGCCAATTGGGGGGTTGGGGCACCATCCCCTGTCACACTCAAGGCAGGGTCGATGGGGAGGTTGCGGCGTGACCCCCTGTCACGCACAGAGCAGGGCCAATCTGGGGGTTGGGGCACTGCCCCCTGTCACACACAGAGCAGGGCCCATCAGGGGGTTTGGGGCTCCGTACCCTGTCATGCACAGAGCAGGGCCCATCAGGGGGTTGGGGAGCTCCCTCCTGTCACGAACAGAGTAAGGCCCATCAGGGGGTTGAGGAGCTCCCCCCTGTCATTCACAGAGTAGGTCCGATAGGAGAGTTGGGGCACCGTCCCCTGTCACACACAGAGCAGGGCGGATCCGTGGTTTGGGGCGCCGCCCTCTATCACCCACAGAGCAGGGCCAATCAGGGGATTGGGGCGCTGCCACTCTCACACTCAGGGCAGGGCCGATGGGGAGGTTATGGCTCTACCCCATCACACATAGAGCAGGGCCCGTGGGAGGGCGGGGGGGGGGTGTTGGGGCACCGCCCTCTATCACCCACAGAGCAGGGCCGATCAGGGGGTTGGGGCGCCGCCACTCTCACACTCAGGGCAGGGCCTATGGGGAGGTTATGGCTCTACCCCGTCACACACAGAGCAGGGCCTGGGGGGGGGGGGGGGGGTTTGGGATGCCGCACCCTGTCACACACAGAGCCGCAGGGCGATCAGGGGGTTTGGGCGCTGCCCCCTGTCATGCTGATCCCGGTGCTGGGAGGCATATTACCCTTTTACTATATAGGGTAGAGGCCTGGTGCATGGGTGGGGGGCGGCTGGTTTGCCCTGAAGGGTGTCCTGGATCAGGGTGGGGGTCCCTACTGGGGTGCCTGGCCAGCCTGGGTGAGGGGATGATGGCTGTTTGCAGCTGGTCACACACCCTTCAGGGTGGGGGTCCCCACTGGGGTGCCTGGCCAATCTGGGTGAGGGGCTGAGGGCTGTTTTCAGGCTTGGGGTGACTGAACTCCCAAATGCTCCTTTTTTTTTTTTTTTTTTTTTTTTTTTATTCTGGGCCAGCTTTAGCTTGAGGCTTGGCTCCAGTTCTTAGGCTGTCACTCCTGAAAGTAGGTTTCTGGCCTTTGTATACAATGTTGCGAATCTGCGGTATTTGTTACAATGTTTCTTAAACTGCCGGCTCAGAGGCCTGCAGCCGCAGGCGGGGAACGTTGGTTTCCTCCAACGATCCTCCGTCACTGAGGCAAGCAAGCCTCATGTTAGTTTCAAGCTGCCTGGCTGCCGGCCGCCATCTTGGCTGACAGTTAATTTAAAACATTTTAAAGCGTGGCTCAATGGTTGCATATCTCGCTGATTAGCCAATGAAAAGGGTAGCGGTCGTACGCCAATTACCATGTTTCTCTTTTATTAGTGTAGATGATTTGTAATGGCTGCATATGGTATTTCATCTTGTTTAACCATCTTCCTTTTTTTCTTTCTTTATTGATTAGGGTATTACATATGTGTCCTTATCCTCCCATTGCCCTCCTCCCCTGCTCATGCCCTCACTCCCCTGGTGTCTGTATCTATTGATATGCTTATATGCATGCATATAAGTCCTTTGGTTGATCTCTCCCCATTACCCTCACCTTCCCCTACCTTCCCTCTGTGGTTTGAGCATCTGATCGATGCTTCTGTTTCTGGATCTGTTTTGTTCATCAGTTTATTTTGTTCATTATAATCCACAAATGTATGAGACCATGTGATATTTATCTTTCTCTGACTGACCTCTTTCACTTAGCATAATGCTCTCCAGCTCCATCCATGCTGTTGCAAATGGTAGAAGATCCTTCCTTTTTACAGCAGCGTAGTATTCCATTGTGTAGATGTACCACCGTTTTTTAATCCACTCATCTGCTGATGGGCACTTAGGCTGTTTCTAAATCTTAGCTATTATAAATTGTGCTGCTATGAACATAGGGGTGCATATATCCTTTATGATTGGTGTTTCTGGTTTCTTGGGATATATTCCTAGAAATGGGATTACTGAGTTAAATGGGAGTTCCATTTTTAGTTTTTTGAGGAAACTCCATACTGTTCTCCACAGTGGCTGCACCAGTCTACATTCCCACCAGCAGTGCACAAGGGTTCCTTTTTCTCCACATCCTCACCAGCACTTGTCCTTCGTTAATTTGTTGATGATAGCCATTCTGACAGGTGTGAGATGGTATCTCATTATCATT